CCCCGGGCACAGCCCACGGTACCCCCCGTACACCCACCCCATACACTGTGGGTTCAGGCCCGAGTGCCCCCGGGCACAGCCCACGGTACCCCCCGTACACCCACCCCATACACCGTGGGTGCAGCCCCACGCAGGGCCCCGCAGCAGCACCCACGAGGGGGAGGCAGGGAGGGGGTGTAGCTGCCCTGGTGTGGGAGACTTTGCCCCCTGGGACTCAGAGCAGTGCCCTTCCCTCCCCTGTCACATCTCCATGCAAATCCCCCAGAGGGGCCCTGAGCTTCCCCACAGTGGGTCACTGTCACCAGTGGGTGTGACATGGGCAAAGGGACAGCGCCCGCACCCCTCTGATCCACACTCAGTACTGACTCGCCTGCAGCAGAGCGCCCGGCTCGCAGCGCCCTGTTTGCCCTTGGTTCCCCTTAGCCCTGCGCTTTACAGAAGCCATGCTTCGGCTCCGCTTGCTGACGTGGGACGTGAAGGACACGCTGCTGCGGCTGCGGCAGCCCGTGGGGGAGAGTTACGCAGCCGAGGCCCGGGCTCACGGGGTCCAGGTGCAGCCAGAGACTCTGAGTCAGTCGTTCCGGGAGGCATATGGAGCCCAGAGCCGGCGATTCCCCAACTACGGCCGGGGCCAGGGCCTCAGCTCCCAGCAGTGGTGGGTCGACGTTGTGAAACACACCTTCAGGCTCTCAGGTGTGCATGAAGACAGAGTTGTAACGCTGATGGCAGAGAACCTCTACCGTGACTTCTGCAGTGCCCATAACTGGGAGGTGCTGCCAGGAGCCGGTGAGACCCTGAGCCAGTGCTGCCAGCGCGGCTTCCGCATGGGAGTCATCTCCAACTTCGATAACCGGCTGGAAAAAATCCTCTCCCAGTGCAACCTGCGGCACCACTTCGAATTCGTCCTTACCTCTGAGGCCGCAGGCTTCACCAAGCCGGACAGGAGGATCTTTGAGAAAGCCCTGCGCCTCGGTGGTGTCCCCCCAGACCAGGTGGCTCACGTGGGGGATGACTACACCCGGGATTACAGGGCAGCCCGAGCCGTGGGCATGCACGGATTTCTGCTGCGGGCTGCCAGGCAGGGCGTGGAGCCGGAGGTGCCCCCTGAGCATGTCCTGCCCACACTCAGCCACCTCCTGACTCGTATCGAGAAGGGGTAGCTGCGTTTTGGAGGAGGACCAAAACGCAGCTGACCTGGAGCTGCTGAGCGGTGAACCAGTCCTGGCGTGGGATTTCTTGCTGCTGGTTGAGTCAGGAAAAGAAGTGAGCGCTTCTGAACGCAGGGAGCAGCTGCCCACGGAGCAGGAGGGGTGTTCATACAATAAAATGTATTTGACATGCTCAGCGTTGCTGCTGATGTACTTCCTCACTCTAAAAACACTATGGAGGAGGGTCAGTGGTGGTGTCTTCCCCCAACAGAGCAGGGCAAAACAGTCTGGAGTTGGGGAATTTCACTTAATTTACTGTATTGCCAATTAACATAAACTTAGCATTAATGATTTGGGTACTGAGAATAAGAGAAATTTTAAACAGTTAAGAAAACATCTTTCCTGCCCTTCTTCCTGGTTTACCTTCAGTCCAACACCTCTCCTTCCTCCCTGCCTGACGTCAGCTCCCCGTGTTTCCCCCACGTTACACTCCCTTCAGTGTGGCAAGGAGCAGCTCAGGTTCAGTTTCTTTCTGCTGCTCCTTCATTCTTACTCCTCTGCTCCTCCATGGGCTACAAGCCCTCAGGGGTGCCCCCGCCCCAGGCATGGGTCTCCCATGGGTGACAGCCCCCCGCAGCATCCCTGCTATGGCATGAGACGGCTCCTCCCAAAAGCACATCTCCAGCTGTCTCTCAACGGTGTCCCTTTCTGCATGCCTGCTCCCTGCCATTTCTCCAAACACACCTTTTAATATTTCTCCTGTTGTCTAAAGCCCGCTGTCACGCTGGAAAGCTGCCCTTGGTTGGAGAGGCATTAAACCCAAAAGCAGCTGGCAGAGCCAGGCGTCACCCTGACCCACACCCCCACACAGGGAGAGGAAAGCTGCCATAAAACACGTGAAGAACAGACATAGTTTGAAGGCAGGTCTTGTCTGAACGCCACTGTACATGAGCCAGTAGCCCTGTCTGGGCTCCTTTCCCCCATGAAGGTATTGTATAGTGTATATACAGTCACTGTATATACAATGGTATATTCACCCCCGCAGCGAGCGCAGCGCTTTGCTCACTGGACGAGCGAGATGCTCTGGTGTGCCACAGCAAAGACGGGGTAGAGGGGCTCCACGAAGGTCTCCCTGTGGGAGAAGAGGATGGCGCAGGAGTCAGGGTCGTAGAAGAGTACCTCCCCGCCCGCAAAGTCAACCAGCACCCCGATCTCAGCCGGAGACTTGATCAGCTCCACCGCCTGCGGCTGACCGGCGTGCAGGAACCTGAACTCCTTGTCGTAGCGTGAGAAGACCCAGGAGGCGGCGTTGAAGCCCAGGCGGGCTTCGCTGCCAGACCCCTTCCGCGGCAGGGAGCTGTAGCAAACCCCCAGCTTGTAGGCGCAGCTCTTCTCCACGCTGATCTTCCACGCACAGACTCCCGAGTGGAAAGCTGCAGTAGCCAAAGCATTGGGCCAGTGGTCAAACCGCTCGGGGCAGTCCAAGTCCACCTTTGCTTTTTTGGGGCTGAAGGTCAGGGTTTTCTTGTCTTCTGACAGGCTGAGGTGGGGGCTGACAGTTTTCTCATTGATGTGAATCTCCTGTGAGCCTGCAAGAGAAGCCATGCAGTGAGCGCTGGCTTGGTGGCCGCTGCCTGAACCGCCCAAAGAAGTCACAGCCAGAGACACAGTGTGCTGCCCCAGGGTGACGTGGTGTTGGGGGCTCCCTGCAGCCTCCCCTCTCAAGCCAGGGCCAGAACAGTGCAGAGACTCATCAGAGACCAGATTTCACCTCTCCACCCTTGCAGGAGAAGTCCTGCAGGGTCAGAGAAGATGCTGCTCATCTTACTCTGACCCTGGCCCGAATCCCCACAAAACCAAACTCGGCAGGCTCGATTCATCCTATTTTTAGGAGAGACCCGATCTGAGCCCCATCCCTTCCCACCCACTGCAGGTGAGCAGGACCCAACTTCTCCTTCCCCAGGTGGAGTGCGTCAAGGGCCTGCACAAGGCCAGCAGTGCCGTTGGTAGAAAACCTGCAGAGCTGGTAATACCAGAACGAGGAGGAAGGGAGAAGGCTGGGCAGGGGAAATCCCTTTCCTCCTATAAAGCTCAAGTCAGGAATCACCCCACCCCCCCCACCCCGAGTGCTTTTGGGGCAGCGGTGGGAGGTGGCACCAGGCATTGGAGATGACCATGACCACAACTTGGTTTTGCTGTGAATTAAGGGGCTGCCCAGCTGCCCTCATGCCACAGCACAAACCCCGCGGAGCTGCAGCCCGGGCTGAGAGCCAGGCTGGCCAGAGGGTGGTTGTACCCGCTGAGGGGCTGCTCTGCTTCAGACCCACCGGCCAACAGCACCCGGCACCGCTTGCCCTGTCATGCTGCACGCTCCCCCACGAGACCCCACAGAGGGTCTGCAGACCGGGTACGAGCGCTGAATAACCACACAAGTGTTTCCCTCGCGCTGTAAATCCACTATGCAAAGAGAAGCTGATGCCCAGCTGACTCACCTGCTCCCGGGGAGACCAAGAGTCTAGCTGCGGGTGCCCCTCCTTGCCCTGCCTTCCCCCACCCTCACTTCATTCATTCCAGGTCGCAAACCCCAACGGGCAGGTGAGTCATTTGTTCTCCCAGCCCTGCTGCCAGCAAGAGCTCTACCACATCACGCCTGCTCCAGCCATTTCCCAACCAGCCTCTGCTCGGCATCCAGCACACGGCAGGATGAGGCCCTTGAAGAATCAAACCATTATGCTGCAGCCTGAACGGTATCGTCCCAGAGCTCGACCTGCTCCAGCATCTACAACGGACGCAGGTCGGCATCCCTCTGACCAGCAAGCAGCACTGAATGGCAGCAGCGTGGGTCGAGGGGTTTCCTAGGGCTACACCTGCCCTGGTGCTCCCAGGCAGGAGAGAAAAACCACAGCTGAATTATCAGTTTGTACAAGGTGGAAGCACCACGCACGCTCACGCATTAGGTGGAAGCTATTGCGGGCAACAGCGAGCAGAAAGAGGAGCTGAAGACAACATCCCCTCCCAGCTGAAGCAGACAACCTCATTCATTTGATGATTTATTTCACCGAGCAGCCACCAAACGCTTTGCAGCGTGCCTGTCCGCCACGCTGTGCTCTCCGTAGGTCTCCACAGCAATGTCTGCCCACGCTGTCTGTTTGTAGGTTGACTTTCCAGGAAGCCAAACACTGCTATGAATTCATAGAAAACAGAGCAGTACGAGACTTTATCTTCCTCTGAAAGAAGAAAGGCACTAAACCTCATATCACACAACACACATCTAACCTAGGTACGGGGTTACAGTCTGCTGTTCATGTGCAGAGATAGTCTACATGAGGCAATATCACTCCCGTGACACCCACGTAGGTTCCTTGTGGAATTATGGCTAGAGGAGAGCGTCTGAGGGAGGGGAAGCACTGGCACAGTAACAGCAGAGTAATTCAGATCAGTAAATTTTCCCACACAGACAAGTGTTTTGTCATGACTGAATCTGCCCTCAGATATTCCCATATATTCTTATGAACAATTCCACCAGGAACTCTTCTCACCCCAAAATCTATTTTCTCAGTGCACAGTACCCATCAGAGTGGCCGTGCCACTTTAGAGAGACGAGGGATGCTGAGTAGGTAAGTTAACACTTTAACATCTCTGTCAAGTACATATGTATTAGCTGCAGCACATTTTAGTACCTTTAAAAATCCAAGTTCTCATTTCCAAACTCACACATCTGAAATTAAAATTCGCGTAGCTAGATTTAGGCACCAAGGTGGAATCCAGACCCAGCCTGGTCCCCGGGGCAGAAGGTCACCATGGAGCAGCCCAACATCTCACGGACAGCTTCAGTCTGTGTCAGCCCTGCAGAGGGTCCTCCGTCAGGTCTCCAGCCAGCATCGCCACTTACCTGTCCCCCAGCAGGACTAACATGGGTGGCTGTGAACCAAGATCCCTCCCAGAATAGTGCCAGGGGATTTACACTATCTCTTGGTTTCTGGAAGGAGCTGCCAATCCCAAATGTAAGCGATACAGAAGCCTGGATGCCAAGTGAAGACACCAAAGGAATCATATTTATTTTTGAGAGCGAAATGGAGGTTCTTTCGCCTTCTGGTTTCCAAGTTTTTGAGAGGCTACGGGGCAAACCGTCAAGGCTAGGAATTCCTTTTCAAGCAAATAAACAAGACTGCCACATGTTCAACTGCCTTTGGGAGGAGGGACCACCAAGGGAAACATAACACTGCCGTGTCTTAACAAAAGTTAGGACCACTGCAGTTAATATTAAATCTCTAAGTCTAGGTCCTGGGTGGACTATGGACTAGGGAGATAAGCAGGGATATGGCAGGCATCCTCAGCATGCACTAACAGCATGTCAAATGTAACCTCAAAAAAACCCAAACCCACAAACCAGAGTGTAATAATAGCACCAACAGACCCACTACTAGGATCAAAAGCCTCAGAGTCATTACATTCGACAAGGATGCTACCAGGAAAGGAATCCATAAGAAAGCCAAACAAAGAGAATCAGGGAAGGGTTTCCTGCATGACTTGACAGCTCTGAACATCTGCTGAGAACCTGCTTGGCTTTGCCAACGTACAGCTGCAGGAGTTCGTGTGACTGCCTGCACTCAAAGACTCAAAACAGAGAGAAATTAATCACAAAGGGAGAGCAACCCCAGAGTCTGCAGGAGAAGAAACAAATTAGGGTGTTGTTTGGTGCGCACAGATTCTCAAGCTAATACTGGAAATCACAAGAGTAATAAAAGCCAGAAGCTCACACCTTGGAGAGGGACCTGGAAACAGGGGAAAACTGAACTGCTCATCAGCATCAAGAGCGAGATGAGCAAAAATCAGAGGTTAATGCAAAAGCTTTGGGAAGATGACCCCACAGATTGTTCATGAGGTGGCACACGGGACAAATGTTTTCAAATGGTGAAGGATGTTGCCACCTTTGAGGAAGAAAAAATACATTTGAAGCGCTCCAATGGTGGCCTGGCAGCAAGAGTAAAAGCAAACATTTCACAATCAGC